GAGTCAAGCATCGTAGAGCCATCGCACACGACGGACGATGGCCACACAAAAGACTTGAGTCGCGTCCTGTCGATGCTTGACTCGTTCTCGTCCCGCTCGCTGCGATGAGCGAGCACGACGTAGTTCGCTCGCGCACGCAACAACACGACCAAGAGCATCGAGCCAATTCAACGTCGCCTTGCCTCCACACCGATCAAAGGACGCGGCACGATCAACTGTTCGTGTCAAGGACGATGCTCGAACGCGTCCGTCGCGTTTGCGTCAAGCACGTTGGTCATGTGCACGTAGCAAGCACATGTATGCCGCTGACGGCGGCATCCACACGTCGTGGGACATTCACGACGGCCGAGCTGCTTTGACGTCGTCGTTTTACTTTACAGACGGTTCCTCCCTCTCGACACCATCGCCACGACACGAACGAGAACCGCCGAGGCTGCACGAGTTCCCACCCAGCTTGCGTCGTCGGCATCGTCGGTGCGCGGACGACGCCGACTGGCTACATGGGCACGGCGCTGCGCCGAGCGGTCTACTGACGTCTACCCGTCATGTCGATGTGGTGGTGTCGTCGGCATGCTTCCGTCGACGACACACGCCAATTTAAACTGTTTGGACTGGATTCGAGCTGCTTGCGTGATTGGACGTCCAACGCCGGCTGGACACTGCGACCCCTTACGCGCAGACATGACCATGTCCAGAAACAAGGCGGTCCGTCGCGCCGTCGGACGCGGTTCGATTTACGTGCACGTTACTGCTGGTCAAATCGGGTTGGGGCCAACCCTTCGTCGTACGACAAGTACACCCCTCTTGCTTGCAAGTTGTACAGCACAACAGCCACACGCGTGTCGAACTGATTCACCTCGAACGTCCTACGCGTCGAGAGAGGTCCACCACAGCGTGCAGCGCCAGGTCGTACAGGGTGTCCAGTTGTGGCAGTTGGGCCAACGTGTCCGGCACGGCGCCCGTGAACGCATTGTGGTCCAGGCGAAGCGATCGCAACGACGCAAGGTTCCCGAGTGTCGGCGGCAAAACGTCCGTGAGAAAGTTGGAGCT